CGCTGAGAAGCCAAAAGTAACAAACTAGCAGCTCGGCTAGTGGAACACTCGACAGAAAGTCCTTACTTGTCGTTATGTATCGCACCCATCACGTTGATGACCTACTGCATTTCGCGTTGACCACAGGTGACGTCTCCTACTTGGTCGATTGCTTGCAGCACACACAACGACTCGTTTGCAACGGCTGCCAATGAAATCACTTGCCCTCGTAAAAAAAGTATAGAAATAAAAGGCTATCGGTACATGCCTCTATTCCACGTCGTTCAAACCGACAAGCTCGTACTGCGGTCCGCAATTGTCGGCCTTGAGCAGCGGAAAACTCATAGCGTACGTCATCGTCGCCGCGGCCTAGTTCAGTATGCTCCGTTGTCGCATTCTGCAAAATGGGGAGTTGTACCGAGGGTGCCGCCGACGGACGCCAGTGCTGCTCCAGCGTCGCAACAACCGTCTCTGCCGTAGGCCGTGAAGTCGCGTCAAACGCCATGCAGCTCTCGGCCAGCGCCTTGTACCATGGTGCGCACGTCGCACTCACCGCTGGGCGAACGCGGCCGTTGCGAATGTTGTCGGTGAGCGCCCACACATCGAGGTTCAAGTCCCCATACGGCAGCTGGAATGAGTCGAGCTCCGTCATAATGACACCGAGCGAGTAGACATCGGCAGCGGCTGTCGCGGCACTGGCACCAGAGAGCACTTCGGGTGCGCACCAAAGCAGCATCGACATGGTGCGATCCATGAGGCGGGCCTTTGCGTCACCGAGGTTGGCGACCTTGATGTAGTTGGTGCCGCAGAGCAAGACGTTGTGGGAAGTCAAATCGCGATGGACAAAGCCGTGGGCGTGGAGGTCGGCGAGCGCGTTGGCGACGACCCAGAGCACTTGTTGCGCTGTAAAGTCCTTAGGTACGGCCTGCGCTGCTTGCTTCTTGTCCAGGAAATCGCGCAAGGTGCCGAGCAACATGTACTCGGTCACCATGCAAGGCTGCTCTTCTGAGCCCGTGATCGCACGTAGTTGCAGCAGGTACGGCGACTTGCACCTAGTCGATGACGAACATGTGAATCACATTCTAGTTCTTTGAGACGTACGCGTCAAGCGCGTCGATTTCAGCTGTGATTGCGGGCGTGTCGCGAGAATGTAGCATGGACTTGATCGCGACACCCTCTCCGCGGTAGTGTCCGAACTCGACAAGACATTTGTGGCCGCCCGAGCTGAGCTTTGTTTTCCCAATCACCTCGTCCGGATGAATCTATGAGGTA